AATGGCCACCGGCGGCGGCTCGCCATGGATGAACACAACCGACAACGACCCAATTTCCGCCCTGTATCGAATTGGGTATTCCGGCCAGTTGCCGGAAATTCCATCTTTTTTATCCCAGAAAGCGAAGGATTTCTTAGAGAAGTGTTTTAGGAGAAACCCAAAAGAGAGATGGACGGCGAATCAGCTTCTAGATCACCCATTTTTAAGGGAAGTGAATTCCATTTCCACCGCAAAGCAATTCCGGGAAGTTGATTCAGATTCTCCGACGAGTGTTGTAGAACAGGGGATTTGGAGATCAATTGAAGAATCCGGATTCTTCCGACCCAGTTGGTCGCCGACAGAGCAGATCCGACGGCTGGCAATGGATTCAGGGGAGGCGAGATGGACGGAGGATGAGAATTGGACGACGATCCGAAGCGAAGAAGTGGGTGAGGAAGAGAGAGGCGGTGGCGGCAAAGGGTGGTTGGCAATGGAATTCATAGATAAGAAGAATGTTAGGTGTAGAATTAGTAGAAATGATTTGGCGGACAATAGTTGTAAGAACATCATTAGTGTTGTTCATAATAATATTAATCATCTCTCTTTTCTTAAACAAAAACATAAATTTGTTCCTTTAATCCCAAGGTTATTATGATATTCAATTTAATTAAATTTGTTCCCAACATTCTCCTGCATCCGGTATGATATGATCACGTTACTTACTCTTCGCTTCTAAGAGTGAAAATTATCTCCACAGCTCAGTACAAGTACTTCCAACATCTTTTATTTTCACTGATATGCATGTTCAAAAAATTCTCGAGAGATCACCCAATATAGAATTGCTCGAAGCAAAGCACATTTAAGTATAAAGCTTCTATCATTGAGCCATGGAAAAGTAATGTTCTTCTTTAGTGTAGATTCTAATTTTTAGTCTTTTAACCCTTTCTTAGCTATCATATCTTCACGATCACTTTTATTCAATCTTGAGTTATTCATTTACCCTTCATTTACTCGGATGTCATATGCTACCAACTTCTGCATTGGTTTATCCCTACACTACATTCTACTAGTCTCAATCCTATACCTGAAGCGTTGCGCTAATTTAATTAGTATCGGAAGTGAAAAAAAAGATGAGAATGAAAAGGGAAACTTTTATGGAATTAGGTCAACAGAAAAAACCCAGACAGAATCATTGAAAAGTTAGAAGCTTTTGAAAACAAAAGGGAAAGAGGAATGCCTAACTCCCATGGCATCCACCGTCGGTTGAAGCTCAAGAAAGGAAGCCATGCAATGCCATGTGTGTCTTAATTACTACGCATTGCCCAACACTCTACTTTGTCTCTTTCCTGTTTGGCCTTTTTTTTTTTTTTTTTTTTTTTTT